TAAGATGTAGTCCTGCGCCAGCTGTATGGTGGTCTGCTCTAATCCAAAAGGATCTTAGAGTATCTAGGGTAAGGGTTTGGGCAATCAGAAAAATCTGTAAACCTTCTGACAATTTATGTGTGTGGAGGAAGTGGGTAGGGGACCGTGTGTGTTGTAGGGGTATTTTTTTTCCTAGGGTGCCAACAGCTGATAGCTAATGCTTCAGATTCTCAGAGGGGATCTACCAATGCAAGAACCAAGCATGTTCCCTCAGGCACGTTCCATAAAAGTTTCTAACAGTTTGGGGTTATGATAGCTGAGAGGAAGAGGTTCTGTGAGCCCGTTCACTGCAGAACAAATGTGGGAAGAATTTCCTTTTTTGAAAACCATGCTTTATAAGGATTCCACTAAGAGGTCCATTGGGCAGGGCCAAAATCCTTGTGAGAGAGAATTAGGCATTCATTCTTACAGAGACACAAAATGGGCAATAATAGAAATTATAGCTTTTCTAAAATCAAACAAAAGATATCATAAAGGAATGCTACATTCTAAAATGGTAGAGCAAAGTTTAAAGCCATAGACATATGAGAACTTTGACCCCAATCAGGATTACTTCCTTGTTGTTATTTGCAACTTAAACTAGCCTTGATTTTATTTCCAGTTTTGTGTAGATGCTTACTTTTCCATTTACCCTCGATATATGTTGGCTATAGATCCCTTCTGAAACCAGCAAAAGCTTCTGGACCTCTCTACCTTGTTTGGTATTAAAAGGTCTCTTGACTTCTTACAGTAGATAGATTTCCTCTGCTGTGCCCAAGGGAGTGTAATTTGCCATCTGAGGCTGTTTGGACTAATTAAAGGGCTCCCCTTGTCTGCCCTTTCAGCCTTCTAGGTGACTAGGCAAGTGTGCTGCTGCTTCTCATTCCTCCGGACTATAGCTCATCATGAAACAGAAGCACATATCCATCCTAACAACACGACATTGATATCACTATCTTATTACAGTGAAAGGAGTCATTTCCTCTTAACAACAACAACAACAACAACAAAACCAAAACAAACAAACAAAAAAAAACAGAAAAAGGTTTTCTCTCCAAAAGTAGTCTCCAGCCACTAGATTAAGTAATGCTTTTATTCTAAAGCAATGGCATTTTCCTCAGCCTCTGAAATTGTTTTCAGCTATTATAAACTGCATTGACAAGAAAGTTTCTTAGAACAACTTCCTTTCAAAACTTGCGTCTCTACTAGACGAAACATTTTTCAAAACATAATTCAAATGGAAAACATCTGTTTTTAAAATATAGCTTTAAAGTGCTTTCACCACTTTCTTAAAGATAGTTATTAGACTATCCATCCCTGACTACAGAATTCCAATTTTTAAAAAGTGGTCTTCTTCCAGTTTCTCCACACCTTACCTTTGTCAGGGTCAGCCCATGAAGAAAGAGAGATTCAGGTGGGCAAAAGGAGAAATGTGTGGAAGTTATATTGAACACAAAAAAAGAATTAAAATTTTTCTAATAATATTTTCCCAATAATTTTGAAATATGTTACTGCTTTATTCCAAATTAAATTCAGCTGCTAGCACCATTTTAGAATATAATTTTTATGATTAATATTAGGGAATTAGGAATCTTTATTTCTCATTTCTATTTTTATTTGCTTTTTGCTTTTCTGTTTTTATTTTTTTAAGTCATTTTAGAAGTACCCTAGCAATGAACTGATGTCCATGGTCTTTCTCTTTAAAAAATGCACAATTTTGTGCTCTTTACAAAACAAGGTATTTTAGTGGAAAAACAAACAGGAGCTAATTAGAAAGATCTTCATCTTGAGACTCTTCCCCTTGAAATTTCATACGCTATTCATTTAGCCATTTGTTCCTATGTCTTCCACTCACTTACTTAACATATGTATTTCGTATCTACTATGTGCCAGCAGTGTTTTTATTGACTGGACAAAAATCAACAACAAAAGAGACAGTATCTCTTTCTTCCTGGACTTTATTTTTTTTTTTCTTCCTGGACTTTAAAGCCAGTTTGGGAGATAGACATTCAACAAATTAATAAAAAAATAGCACTAATAGAATGTACAACACAGAGCGAGCCCTAATGTAAACCATGGGCTGTAGTTACTAATGATGGATCAAATATTGGTTCATGAATTGTAACATGCAGCACAGTAATGCAAGATGTTAGTAACAGAGAAAACTGTGTGTTATGTTGGCATATGAAAACTCTGCTTTCTGCATAAATTTTTCTGTTAAGTGCTCTAAAAAATAAAGTTTTAATTAAAAATAAAAAAAATTTAATAGCTCTAAAAGATAAGCAATTTAAAAGAAATAAACAGGATGCTATTAGAAGGAATAGCAGGGGTGACATAATTTGGATTGGGGAATAAGGAAAGACCTTTCTGGAGTTGTTGTTTAAGGTCAGAACTAGAGAATAAGTAGGAGCCAGCCAGGCAGAGAAGAGAAAGAAGTACATTCTTGGTGAAGCAAAGTGATATCATTTGAACTACCTTTGGAAATATTCTTCTGGCTTCTCCATGGAGGATGGATCATGGGTGTGGTCATGAGGGTGCATGAGTACAAAGGAGACAAGTTAGGAGGAACTTAGAATGGACCATAGCTTTTATCTACTTAAAGTAGTAGTAGAACAGAATGACTAGGATTCTTTCCTTTGCTCAGCTTAAGCCAGAAGCCATTAGGTTCTCCATGAGCCACAGGCTAGGAAGACAGAAGACTGTTAACTGGCAGCAAGATGGGGTTCCCAGGTCTCCATTCCTAAGATCTTTCCAGCAGCTCAGTGGGATTTTTAGAATGAGGAACAATCATGTGTGTGTGTGTGTGTGTGTGTGTGTGTGTGTGTGTGTGTATTTGAGACTACAATAAGATGAGAATTATAAGGGAAAACAAGCCTTCAAGTACTAACTATCCAGCTGTAATAATAGACTTTCATAGAAATCTGTGTCGGATTTAATTTTCAATAGTTATCCATTCCTGCTACTGGATTGTTGGAATTTATTTTGTTTTTTGTTTCTTTTAAGGCTACGTGTCAAAAAATTTTTGATAAGTCAACAAAAAGGATACTTAAGGAAGGTCCACTTTAGGCAGGGTGCTGTTTTAATACGTCAGTGTTGAACGATTTGTAGCAGAGTTCTTAGGGATAGTGAATTCCCAAGGAAAAAAATTCTAGTGAGTAAAGGGAAGTGTTTACCAGTATATAGATTTCTATTGATTCTGGAACTGTAATTAGCAGCGTGGAAGCTCAAATAGTTCAAGGTTTTGTTTCCATTTAAAATTAAGCAGCTCTGCATATACATAATCCACTTCATCATTTGTAACTTTTATCTGCCTATACGTGTACTGTGCACTGGAAATTTGCAAGACATTCACTATTTTTATGCATTTCTTTTACAGTGAAAATTTGTATATGATAGTTGTACATTACATAAGGATTCACTACCACTTTGAAAAATCTTTACCAAATGAGCACGCATTTCATAGTACTTAGCTAATAATGATACAAAATGGCTAATATGCCTATCTAACTCTATAGAGTGACTTTTTTTTTTCTTTGTATTCCTGGAAGCACAAACACTTAAGAATCCCCCATTTGAGCAGACCTGTTGTTTATTTTAGGACATATAAGTGCATCATCAATGTAATTTTAAGTAGTCCAGTTATGAATATGGGATGAAGGGATAAAATAAAGTTTTCCACTCTGATGTGTCCATTAAGAAGCTCCTCTTTGTGTAAAATACTCCGTGGCAAAGTTGCTTCTATTTAAAGTAGTGAGTTTGATCTTGGCTTTGATCTAAAGCTTTTGATCTTGAAAGAAGGATGGGGTAGCAATAAAGAGAGGGCAAGACAGATTTTCTTTAAAGAAATGCGATAAAGTTAAAGGGATGGTCAAGATCAACAAACAGAAATGCTACCCGACTCCTCTCCCCAAGCGCTCACCCCCATTCTGGTTCAGCCAACTTCTGATGCGGATAGGAAGAAAGTCTTTTGGGGATCGGCGGAAAAACTTGGGAGTATCGCAGACTTTTACAAACTAAGGGGAAACTTTCCCCTAATAAGGAATACAGAATGTCCCCCTTTAAATTCTCCCCCTGTCGCTGGCGGGGGTGGGGTGGAGGTGGGGTTCCATGGGCAGAGCGCGTGCGGTGCCTACTGCGCTTAACCGGAGCGTGTAGGCTCCGTCGAAGCGCGGGCGGTGCGCGGGGCTCGACTTTACGCGCTCCCGGTTTCTCCCTGGGGAGGTCACCTGCCACAGCCCCGGAGTCCGGAGGGGCCACTGAAAAATGTCTACTTAATGGCGTCTAATCCATTCCCGGAAAAAAAAAGTCCACTAGGAAAGTTCCTTTCCGCTCCGCATAGGCCATCTGGACACTTAGGTTTCTGACCGGAGAAGCGAGGTGGCCTGGCCGCGGGGGTGGGGGCCCTTCTCAAGCTAAGCCCTTTCTCCTGCGGCCGGGCCGCGCTCCGGCACGCTCAGCGGCTGAGAAACCCTTTCGCGGGTTCCCCGGAGCCCGCGGGGGTGGGGGCTGGAAAGGTAAGGCGTGCGCGCCCGGGTCGGTCCGCGCGTGGGAGGACGCGGGAGCGCGGGCGCGGGCGGGACTCGCGGAGAGGAAGAAAGACGTTCGCAAAGAGAACAATAAAATAGGGACGCGCCGGCGGGGGCGGGGGCGGGCGCGACCTGCGGGGAGGCCGGCCCGGCCGCCTATACCTTTAAGGCAGGCCCCGCCTCCGCCCCAGCGCCCGCCCTCCGCCCGCGCCGCCGCCCCGGCCCCGCGCCGCCCGCCGCCCGCGCTGCGCCTTAGGTGTTGCGGGCCCCGCGCGCCCGCTGTCTCGAGCAGCTGGCCGGGCCGGCGGGCGCCTTCGAGCACCAACGGCGGGTCAGCTCTCACCCTCACCTTCCGCGGTCGAGGTGGTGGGTCACCGCGCCGAGTTGGTGGGGCGCGGGGGGGAGGGCTGGGGCGGCTGCCGGGGTGGCACCCGGCCTCTGTCCCCTTCCCCGCAGCGCTGCAGAGGGAACGCCAGGCCGGGGCGGAGTGCGGGCTGCGCGACGAAGTGAGCGTCGAGGTGAGTGCGGGGGCGCTCTCCGCGCTCCCCTCCCCTCATCTCCTGGGGCCAGTGGGTCCGGCGCCGCATCCCCGCCGCAGGTCCCGCGGCGCGGATAACGGGCTCACCCGGTGGATGAATGGCCCCGTTCGGGGGGCTCCGGCGCACCGGCGCGAGGGGCGGGCGGGCCCGTGACCGGAGGAGCGGCCCGGGCGAAATCACGGCCTGGGTGCGTCGCACCCCGCGCGCCTCGGGCCCCCGGCGCGCTGGCAAGGGCCGCCAGCAGATTGGAAAGGTGCCCGTGGCTTCCCCAGGTGAAGCGCAGAAGGCTGCGTCGCGAGGCGGTCGATCGTTTCTTTCTCACGCCGAGGAAGGGCTCTGACGACCGTCTATTTTAAAATGCTCTGTGGTTTTTGAACTTCAGGTCGAGAAATGGGTCAGATGAACCAGACCGAAAACGGGGAAGCGAAGGGAGACCGAAGAGCTTGAAAGGTGAAAGTTTGAGGAGAGAGCACGGGTGGAGTTCTTGAGAAAGCTACCTGTCCGACCCAGAGGACTTGGTCACAACAATAGAGTAGCGTTTTGTTTTTTTTTTTTTAAGTTTTAATTAAATTTACAGTAGGCTGTAAATTAACGTGCATAGTTACACAGAAAAATTGGTTGACAGTGCTATTGATTATGGACGTACTATGTTGTCAGGAAGAGGATGACCCCGGATGGAGCTATGTTTCATGTCCATTAAATAGAGCAATGGGACATAAGCGGGTTCCGTTATTATGTTAGACCAGTAGTCGTTATTATGGCAGTTGTTAAAGGTACTATAGGCAGGCTGAGGGGCTTTTCTGAATAAATTGCCCACAATATCGGGTTTCTCTGTTCGGTTGTGATAGACACAGCACACTCACTTAGCTTTGGGACTTTAAATTAGAGTAATCTTAAAAATGGAGGGAGACGATGGATTTCTTTTGAAACCCTAGGAGGGATTTTATTTACTGTAAAGCACATGAAAAACTTGTTTTTCTAAATTTAGAATTTCAATATGTTACTTTGCAGAAGTTTGGACTACCTATTTTCTCCTGAAATTATATTAAATTAAAACTTGATTTGTCATTGTAATAAATAGTATGAAATAAGGTAAGTATAGTCTGTTGTTTTCTGAGTGACTTTTATTGAAAGCTCTTAAAAGTGAATAACGTTTTCACAAATGTTATAGCAGATACAATTTTTGTTGCGCCTACTTAATTACTGTACTGTTTTTTGATTCTTGATAGCACCAGGGGATTAAAATAGATGTGTGTTGTTTTTCTGCTGCTAGAATGTATGATGAATCACTCCTGGTTCTGAAGCCAAGTTCTTGCTGATAGCATTGCTGCTGACTTCTGTGATGTGTTGCCTTAGTATGGGCATTGCAGCGTCCGAGAATGTGCACAAAGCACATCATAATGAAGGTGATCCCAGAGTTCCAGAGTGCATGTAAGGATACCAAGGCCAGCTTCTAAGAGAATGGGGAAAAGAACTGGCCTAGGATCCTGGTCATTTGTAGGGAGACATCCAGTGTGTGAAAAGTAGCACCCCAGCCCTAACCTTTTTAAACAGAGTCATATCTGTCAGTTCAGTTAAACAGTAATAGAAAAAGGTGTCATTTTGAAGAGACTTGAGTTTTCTGACCATACCTCGGCATGCTGTGGTAGGTTGTGTTTGTTTAACTTTCATGCTTTAGGTGTTTTAAAAAATGTAAGGTGATGAATCTGATCATAAAATGTCCAAAGAAGGGAAAAGTTTTATGGCTTGCTTAGTATTGCAAAAAAAAAATTTCCAGCTATGATTTTTTTAAGCCAAAAATAAGATTACTCAAGTAGACCGTATGCCAGGTGTGAATGAAGGGAAGCCGTTACCTTTGTGGATTACTAGGTACCATCACTCCCCAAATCTGAACTTGAAGTATTGTGACGCCTTCAGAGAATGAGAAGGGGGTGCTGAGGATTTCACCTACCAAGAAAATGGGGTTCTTTGCTGAGCCTTCTCGGCTCCGTAGAGGCTGTGTATTAGAGCTTATGGGCAAGGTGCACGTTTGACTTTTCTTAGAAAACGTGGGCAACAGTTTTAAAGAGGATACGAAAATGAAGTAGGTTGAGATCAACACACTGAACTTCACTTCAAAGAATGAAGCTGAAAGCTGAAGCTTTGAGGGAGGAGGTAGAGAGGTCAGAAGATGGGAGATTTCAGAGTTGTATCAGAGAATATTAATTATCAGCGTGTCCAGTCTTTCTTCCTGGCTCTGCGAGGCAGCCGAGCCCTTTGCCCACTGTTTTGCCTGTGTTACAGCCAGGAGAGGGTTTGGAGCTCCCTGAGGCAAAGCCTGCGATATTTTCAAGGGCAAGGTGAAATGGAGTGCGATCAGTGACCAAGGGCATCAGAGCAAGTTCTGAAAGGCACAGAGGCCACCCTGCAGCTGGAAGCCAGGGTGCCGTCCCCTGATTGCCCGAGTGTCTATTCTGAAGTACAGATCAAATTCTGTGTGGTAATGAGTATTTAAACCGAGGTCATGTGTTAACCTTTTGCTACGATTTGAACCTGTTAGTAGGAATCTCAGTAGTTAACTCTCTGTTGAGTTTAGTAAGTGTTTTTAAATGTCTGCCACGCGACAAGTAGAGGCACGTTAGCCAGTTTCTCCTTTTTCCTGCATCCACTGTCTATTTCTACAACATTCAAGTAACACTGTGGTATTTTCAGCTTTTATTCATTTTATATTACTGTAAAATATGAAAACGAGTGGTAGTCATTTTTGGTAGGCATAATTTTCAGTCTACCCATCGCTTTTATTTGCCTACTTTGTTTTCTTTGCCCCGTCTCTCCCCCACGCCGCCCTTCCTCCATCCCCCAAGTCTGTATTTACATCTTCCAGGCTCACGTGGGACTCAGCCCAGATCTGACTGAACTTGGTTAACTAGTCTGTGTTTTACTGTGCTAGGGTCGGAACATTTCTCCTGCAGTGTTTACTGACTTGTGGAGAGCAGAGTCTCCTGACCTGCCCGCGGAAGGAAAACCGAGCAGCAGTGCGAGGCCACAGTCTGGAAGCGGGCAGCGGGCGAGGAATTATAGGTGGCGAATGTAATCTTACAGGAGGTATTTGTCCCCCTCACCCCACCCCCCGTAAAGAAAATCACGAAGGTGCTAAGTGGTAGGCACGGCCTGATCTAGGAGTTGAGTTTTTCAGTGAACTCAGAAGGGGAAGCAAAACAAACTTACCCTGTTCTCAGCTGTGGGTTAAAATAACGAATAATGAAATAAAGTAAACTGGGTGAGTGAGAGGTTCTACCGGGAGAAGTGATTTAAAATGCTCTCCTGGCCTTTCCAGGCTGTTCTCCTTCCTGTGCGAGTCCTTGAGTCCTTCCCTCCCACCCAGCCACCGGAGGCCCAGTGCTGTCTTACAGGTTTCGCTTCTCCTCTTCCTGAAGCTCATAGTGCTGTCTTACGCGTCTTCTGTCTTCCCTGATACTTACTTTCATTTTATTTTCTCTTCATACTTTAGCCCCCTTCCCACTAGGTGCAGCTCAGATCCTTTATACTGTTCTCTGTCTTCTTCATTTTAAATTACAAACTCACCTCTCTTTTGCTTCTGGTCCTCAGGTGTTTTCTCCTTACATTATGATGTTCTTCCTTTTATGTTATTTCAAGTTCCTTTTATTTAGTTTCAATAATTTGTGCAGCAGAAAGGCAAGGAGAGCAGGAACAACTACACAAAGAACAATTAGGGAGAATGGCTCAGCTCTGCAAGGGGCAGTGAAACAATGGTGGTTGCAAAAGTGAATTGTATGTGTATTTTTTTAAATAATGTTAATAGATTTTTCTAAATGGCTGTTGGTTTTGGAAGAGGAACATTTTTTTCCCTGCTTTTATCTTTCACTGATTCAAAAATTCAAATTATCCATCACATTCAAAGATTAAGGAAAAATATACTTTTATAAATATATGTGAAATATAAAGATTTTAAATAGTTTTTTTTTTTTTAATTTTAAGGGTTAGTAATACTATACTACACAATAATAAATAGTATATTGAGGAGAAGAATGTGTGAATGACGTATGATTCCTTTAGAAGAAGAAAATGCCAATTTTCAGATTGCAGAGAAGCACCTGAAATCATGTTTTATACGTACCTGATAATGTACAGAGGATAAATTTTAAGATATTCATTTCTGGTCATCATCGAGTATATATAATGTCACAGGTATTCATTGGCAGACTTTCAGAACATTGAAAATTCAGTGATACTAAGGTTGGCTATTATTATTAACAAGCTATCTTTTATGTGTGTTTGTTTCCAAGCTAGTGGTCTTGGCGAGGCTGAGTGTCTGGCCTGTGTTACGATTAGTCATAAGGAACACGAGGTGCAAATGGTTTCTAACAAAAGCACCCTTTAAGGTTACCTTAATTGTTCTTTCCTGCCAGAACCCTAAAAACAATACTCCAGAGCATAAGATTGTTAAAAATGTGGTGAAATTTTCCTTGAAATATCGAGTGAAACATAAAGATCTAGAGAGATGGTTGTGAAAATGTGGATTTTATAGTATTTAGTCGCCATCTCAGAGTCTTTGAGAAGAGAAAATGCAGACAGTTTTCTTTGTGATCTGGAGCATTTTCCCTCAGTTTTACTTCATGTGTTCTTTCCTCACATTTGATTCTGAACTGCAGTGATTATCTTGGTATGAATAATAATTTACAGATTAAAAAATGTGTATAGAACCCATTTTGGCTTATGCATTTTGCCACATTTATTGCTCCTTTTAAAATTTTATATGTTCTAAGAAAATGCGTTTATTACAATTCTAATATTGAAATATTCAACACGTTAAAGGTAAGTACAAATTTTAAACTATTTAACAAAGTGCTTTACTGCTGTTTGTCTTTTGTGACAAAGGTCTGTTTTATATTAAGTTTATGATTTCTGGAAAACTATTTAAGACTAATAAAAATTATCTGGCTCTTTCTTGGACCTGTAACAGCAGACGGTGACTGTGTTAGGCTTGACTCTGGAGCGATCAGGATACAAAGCTTGAGAAAATGGCACAAGACGAATTTAAAGAGTGCTGAACCAAGGGTCCCTTCACTTTACAGGAGCTACCCCACATTTAGCAAAATGGTAGGCTGCAGGCAGCCACCCTTATGCAACTGAGGCAGCACTGGTGTTGAGTGGTTTCCCAGGCATCGGTGCCCTTGCCTCTTTTCGAAAATGTTCCTGCCCTGTGAGAATTCATAACTAGTCTACATTTATATAGCTGTAATCTCTTACAATAGCTTCATTGATACTTGATCTCCATAGAAAAGCTTTATGGGTTCTAATGAGTCACTGCTCTTGAGGCACCAGCCGCCCTCCCTATCTGTGAGTGGCTTTGTGTCCTGTGTTGTACTGATTGTGCCTTTGGATGACAACTTACTTGAGTGATGGAGAGAGGCAGGGTAATTTATTAAAAGTAATTACAA